TAACTTGGGGATGTGCTAATCGCCTTCCTGATATTATTGATCTTCTCAGAAAAGAAGGAAGCAAACTTATTGCATTTGCTGTCGGAGAGCATTTCACTGGCAATCTGACTCTGGGGGGGTTTGTCAGTCTCTCAACAGTAACAAAAAGAGTGCGCGTGTTGTTTAAGTTACTTTGTATAAGGTTTGAGAAGAATGACTGTCTAGCTTTGCCTAGTTCCACATTGAAAGCACGAATATACAGTAGATATCTTATATCTTTATAGATGCTATAGTGAATTTCACGTTTCGTCTTCCGCCACATCCGCACAGTTTTTCTGCATTGTCTTTTCATACTCTGAACTGCTGTTGATTTTCTCCAAGCTGATTTCTGTCTGCCAGTCTTCTTGCTGACTTTCACAGGAGCAATGTCATCAATAATATTTTTAACTTTTGAGTTAAAGGAATCAAGGAGAAGAACAACAGAGTATGCAGAAATTATAGAGAAATCAGTATTGGTATCATTGATACTGGCCTTCAGTCATAAAAAAATATGCCATTAAACAAATATTAAAAAATATACTGTCTTTATGTTGTTTCTACATTAATTTGAAGATTGAATGTGAAATTATTGCAATATAAAAGTATATGCGTTAGGTGGGATTAATCGCGATTAATTTCCAATTAATACCAATTAGAGAGCTCTCTAATTCAGTTCTTACTAGTAAAAATGCAATTACAGAGCTCTCTAATTAAATTCTTACTAAGAAATCTAGTTACAGAGCTCTACAATTGTATCCTTACTAGTAAAAACTTGTATTCATTAGATGCAAAACAGATTTGCGACTACACCCATTTGTCTTTCCAAATCCGCCTGTGGTGAAACACTTCGAAATAAAAGCCCCATAAGCACGAATTGATAACATTTTCATTGTGTCAGAACGACCATAAGAGTGAGATGACAGTTTGGAAAAGTTTTGATTTAATATTTAATCACTTTACTTTACACATTAATTCACACCTTTATATTATTATTAATATTATTATTATTATTACTATTTCTTTATTTCAGACCCTTAGGTCTGTTAAAAATTAAAATAAAGAGTAGCCTGATTTTGGTGTTTATTATGCACTGTAACATGCATGCAGAATTTGAGCTAGTACATATATAGGCTAATTAATAGGTTAATTGTCACTCTTGACAAAATGTGTTTTAAAATTTCTTTCTTTCTTACTTACTTTCTTTCTTTCTCTCTCTCTTTTTTTTGGTCAGACATTAGCGGGGATAAATTCAATTGTGACATTATTTTGGGGTATATTTTTGATAAGCTTAATTAGACGATATTTTGCTGAGTGTGTTTTTGTGCTGGAACCGTGGCTGGTTTTGACCAGTAGGTAGCAGCACGACTCTGTCTTAGCCTACTGAGTGATTCATTTAAAGATTCATGCAAGTACGAAACATGTCTCTCAGAGCAGCCTGGTCTCATGTTTATACGTAGGTATTATTAATACGTAACAT